TTAAAACCAAGTGATTTAGAATCGTTACCAAAAACTAAACGAAGATCACCCTATGAACTTGAACCACCAATTATAGTTCATTGGCGAAGAGATGTTGAGGCTGTTGCAATTAAAGTAACGATTAATAGATTAAATAATCATAATTAATTTTTAACAGCAGATTTTAATTTTATTTGATATGTTTGTATTCAAGGTATGGGGTTCAATGGATAACTTGAGGAAAGAGCATTTAAAGAGGGAAATTGAAAGAAAAACTTATCAACAAAGTAATTAAAATATATTAATTTCACTATTTCAATGAATTTTTATAATTTACTTTAGCTCTTCACAGATGTATTTACTCAAAAGCGACGTTTGAGAGACTATAGACGAGAGATGGGAACAAGAACTGAAGTGGAACAAGAATCTGGTTTAATGGGAAGATCTGGTCGTGTTGTGGTAGCTGCTGTAGCCATCAATGCAACAAACTGTCTTTTTAAATTATTTGCCTGGCTTTACACAGGATCTAATAGTATGTTCTCAGAATGTATTCATTCTCTGGCTGATACTATCAATCAACTTATATTGGCCTATGGTATACATAAGTCTGTTCAAGTAAGGCAAAAAGTTGCAGGAAAAAATAAAGTATTAAGAATTGATAATTATTTTTTCAATTCATTTCAGATGGCTGATCCGACACATCCCTATGGGTATTCAAATATGCGATATGTTGCTTCTCTTATATCAGGCGTAGGCATTTTTTGTGTTGGTACCGGTCTATCGATTTACCACGGAGTAGATGGGTTATTAATCCACATCCTGTAGAAGATTATTATTGGGTAATTATAGTTATCATAGTTTTCCTTTTTTATGATGAAATTTTGTATATCTATCTTGTTTTAAATTTCTGAGTCAATTTATCGTAACTTCTTATTTATTTCTTTTACAGGCTTATTACATTCTGGCTGGCTCCATGATATCTGAAGGCGCAACTTTACTGATGGCTTTTAACTCGATCAGGAAAGGTGCAAAAGCTGCTTCAATCTCAGTAAAAGATTACATTTTGCGAGGACAAGATCCCAGTGTTAACGTGGTCATGTTAGAAGACATGGCTGCCGTATTGGGTGTAGGCGTTGCTGGTTTGTGTATGGGTTTATCAAGCATTACTAATTCTCCCATTCCTGATTCAATTGGATCACTTTTGGTTGGAGGCTTGTTAGGGGGCGTAGCGTCCTTTATTATTTATAGTAATGTTGCCGCATTAGTGGGTCGGTAAGAAAGATAAAATGTAGAATTTTGACCTTTTCTTGTATAGTTTGTAATAATATTTCTTATGATCTTAGTTCCATTCCACAAGAAAAATTGGATGATATGAATGCAGTACTAGAATCAGACATAATGATTCGAGCTATACATGATGTGAAAGGAATAGATATGGGAAATACTCTGGTTAGATATAAAGTAAGACATTAAAGTTTTAATCGTCTCTTTGTTTGAGAAAGGACTTTGCAGAATTAATGCTTTTTTGTATTTTGTTTAGGCTGAAATGGACTTTGATGGGAGGGAATTATCCAGGGCTTATTTAGACAAGCTAGATCTGAACGCTTTGTTGGAGGTAAAATATTATATTTTTTACATTAGTTAATATTTTATTATTCTTTAATATTCTATTATTATTCTTAATACTAATCTAATTAGCATGGAAGTATATTAACATTATGTGCATTCACCGGTTTAAACAGTTATTTTCAGTAAGTCTTATTTTTTTTTAAAGGAAATCAAGTCTTTCAAAACAATAGATGAATTAGAAGAATTTTTATTGAAACATGGTGAAAACATAGTTGATCTTATGGGAGGTGAAATCGATAGGATCGAACTAAAACTCAGGGTATGTTAAATGATGAATTACAATTTATTGTATAATTTAACTATTTGAAGCCTTATTACTGGATTCTTATATTACAGACAAAGTTCCCACAAATACGACATTGTGATTTAGAAATCTTATAGGGAATACAGCAGAAATAACTTTCATCATGAAGTTAAGATTTGTGATTAAAAATCGAGCCACTAATTAGCATATGAATATGATTCATAATATATTAGCTAATGCATTTTGCTTTAAGTTTATTGGTGTTGTTACTTAATACATTATTTATATTTTGTTGTAACTAATTTATTGAATAATCACATTAATAATTAAATTAAGCACACTATTTGTCTTTTTGCATTAACAAATTTTGTCTAATATCATTTCTTAATCAGAAGTGGTATAATAACAGGAGACGGGTAAATAAATAAAGGTTAAAATTATGTTTTTCATACGTTAATATAGCTATTAACATGTACAAGAAAAATAAACCTTGATAATTGTGATATAGCGAAATGAGTCATGTGTATATATTTTCACATATTATTTAATTTACCATATTATGGTATGATTTAATATAAATATTTATATTTATAGTTAATATATGTAATGTTTCGATTTCATAATATTTCTGATTTTGTACTAGTGCATTCATAAGCAATTGAATAAAAATTTATTGATCAGATATTTATCGTTTGAATCAAAATATTTTTACTTTTCGCGCGGCATTTAGAACGTTAGCTGAATAGTATCAATGAAATATCTGAAAATCCGCCCTTTGAATAATTTTATTTTATTAAGACTTTTTTCTATTATGGGTTATAGCAATAACTACAAACTAGTTTTGTTTGAAAAAAAAAAACCCTGCTAAACAACATAACGACGGTCTTATCTATGACTACGATGTACTTTTCATATACTCATCATAATTAAACTGCATTATTTTCGAAATTCGATTATAATTTGTCAGTGGTGTAGATGAATTCATAGAACTTTTTATAAAACACCGTAATTTTTACTTCCTCAAGGTGAAGTTTAGTTCTCAAATATCCACTTCCTAAAAAACGATTTTAAATAATTAAAAGCCTTTCGATTGATCATTATACTATGTTTCTTCAAAATCGTTTGTATGAACCCGAGTTTATAGTTTTAAATAAACCAAATGTTTCTCTTCAATTTTTTTTTCCATATCTATTTTTCCAAAAAAATTTTCTCAATTTTTTTTTCTAAATTATTTACCTTATATATATATATATATATATATATATATATATATTTATCTATGATTTATTAAATGCCACATACACATAGTTTTGTTTAAATGTTTTAATAATAAATAACACAGATTTTTTTGAGAATTTCGAAATATATTGAAAATTTATAATTTTTTTAAAAATTTCGTCATTTTTTGAAATAACAAATTAAAACTTTTGAATAAATTCGACTTTTTCAAAATTTCTTGAAAATTTTCAAATTCTTCATATCGGTAGGTTCATACGGTCGGAAATGTCGTGAATATTTGATTAATATAAATAAAACAAATGTTAAACTTATTATTAAATTCTATATAAAATATTTAATTTGATGTGCACATGTCTATTAATGATCATTTTTGATTGCCGAATGGCATTTTTTCATTTTTTTTTTCTGGATTTCCAAAGCCGCTGAGCTTGCCTCCTCGAAAATTTATTCAATTCTTCTATACAATTTAATTTTTTTATATCATTGAAATCAGATGCTGCGTTCTTTCAAAAAACGAATTGCCATTTTTGTACATTTGGCCCAATTTGGCCCGTATCTTCAATCAGCACGTCTCAATAGAAATCATAGCTTTTTGAATCATTCAAATTTGTTGATCTGTGGACGAAGAATTCTATCAGCACTTACATACATAAAAGGTCCAATAATCACGTGAGCGAGTTTTTAAGGATTTTTGGAACCCCCCCCTCCCCTTGGTGATCCATGAAGGTGACATTTAAAATTACCCCCCACCCGCACTAAACATCACGCGTATTTTTAGTTGCGTAAAACAAGTATAATTTTTTTAATTTTTTTTTTTTGAAAATATTGAACTAAAATAAATACACGTGTTATCTTACTATACCCCTCCCTCCCCCACGTGATATTTCGTGATTTTTTGTCAAACCCCCCCTTCCCCTAAAAACCTCACGTGATTAATGGACGCCCCTTTGTGTATGTTCAGAAACCCTTGAAACATAAAGATATGCAACAATTTGCATTTTCGATTTTTTGCGCGCAAAAGTAAGTAAGTAAGTTAATCGCGATTACTATAACTTACCCTTCGGGTAGTTAAAACCAAGTTCTTTATATCCAGCCGAAGATAACATATTCAGCGGAATGTATTTCTATTTCCACCCTGACCTTAAATTATAGATAAATTTCCCATGGGTATTTTTGTAGATAAAGCCATGTTTCATATCATTACAAGTATTCTAGATATGGGTAATAATTCGTGAATAATAATTGACAATATAGGCGACAAATATGTATAACGGCCTCGCGCGTTTGCTGCTTCGCAAGTTTATCAACACACTGTGCTTTATTTACTTCATTGTTATGTCGAACACCGCGCGGTCCAGACCAATCTCCTTAAATTACATTGAATCAGTTTTCACGCAATTGTTTAAACAAAATTGAAAAATATTTTCATTAATAATATTGTGTTTATGTGCTATTAAATTTATATCGGCGTAGAAAATGATTTTAAACATTTTTACCTGCTTCAAAAGACAAACCAAAAGTTGGTCATAAATAATTATAGAATCAAAAGGAGATTTTTGTAAAAAGCATAAGAATGATATTATATGTTAACAAGTCAAAATATTAATTTAATGTAAATAATAATTTAAAATATTAAAAAAAATACTGTGCAATTTTTTACAATTTTCTTGTTGAATGCTAATAAAGCAATTGTGTTCGTGTGATATATTTTAAAACTAAAAGAAACCCCCAAACTATTTTTCTTGCAATTATAACAATTGGTTTTAAACTAGTGATAAATGCAACATATAATGCTAATAATTAATATATGAAAAATAAGACAATTATTAAATTGTACGAAAACAAAATGATTTGTAAAAGATTGAATTGTTTTATTCCATTTATATTATTATCAATTATATTCACAATTTTAATTGTTTTGACGAATTTTGTTAATTGTGATGCCGAGAAGAGACCAAATATAATATTTATCTTGGCTGATGATTTGGTGAGTATGGTTTTTCATTAATACATATATTTGATTTTTTCTCCAATCAAGATTTTTATATCATATGAGGTTTGTGATGTGGAAATAGTTGGTTTAAAAGCTCTGTATGTAGCTTTAAGCATAGTCTCTATTCATTTTAATTAAAACTCAGATATGGTTTTCCAGTTATAGAGGAGAATTTCAAATAAATTAAGTGTATTGTTAAAAAAAAGTATTAATTTAATTTAAATCATTTAGTTATAGCAAATTCATTATCCTTTTACAACGTTCTCCTTTCACAAACCTCTCGAATAAATAAATTATTCATCTATAAATAATTTTGTTTTAAAATCTCATTTTATTAATAAATTTCAAATTATAGGTAGTATATAAAAACATAAAAAAAATCTTTTAAACATGTGCTATATTGAAATTTGTTATTGTTCTAAATTATTATCATTATTGTTTATTATTACAATTATTTTAAATATTTTTAATTGTATCTGTATCATGCAGAATTAAATATTTTAGAGAGAGTATAAATAATAAAAATATCATAACTAAAGAAAACTGATTTTTTTAGCGTTGAAAAATATAAATAGAGTAGGGCGGGGCACAAAAGTCCAATTTGACTTTGAGCAATTATATTGTGCAAACTTCGAGCAATTTCATCACAACAGATGACACATATCAAACAACTGTCTGACTATGTTCAGTAAAACTCGCAGCTAAATCATCATTGTAGAAATGTGTTTTTTATGTTTTTAAAAATTTTGTCACCTAGTATTTTTACTCCATAGGTTGAGTACAATGAGACGGCAAGGAGGCACCAGGCCCAATATCTTATTTTTAATTTTAAAGGGATTTTACGAAATAACAGCAACATTTTTCGTTTTTCAACATTTTTTAACTAATGCAAAATTTAAATTTTATGGGTACATTTTTTACAGTTCTTTCACTATATATAATCTAAAATCAGGCGTTTAGCCAGAAATACTCATCAGCAGAGTTGGAATAATTATATTAAGGTTTCGTAAACTAAACAACAGAGTTTAAAACGAAAAAATCTAACAACGACAGAAAATACCTTTGTTATAGATTTTTACACATTGTCGTTTATCTCCCGCTAGCAAAGTTGTAAAAATCAAGGTAGTGGCTAGGTAAACATACTTTTCCCCCTACTTTAAAATATTGTTGTTAAAAAAATCCTAACTTTATTTGAGATATCGGTGGTGGACCTTTTGACCCACGTACCTTGATCTCCGCTCTACCCTATATGTAATATAAGATAAATAATTTATATTATGTACTCTGATGATGAGCCGAACACGGTCTCAAATCGTTTATAATTTAGTACTTAATTTACATCTACTTATAAGTTAGTTTAAACCGTATTTCGATGCTTTTAGAATTTATAATAATCATAATAATTATAAATATATTTTTTCTCTGTTAAATTTTGATCTGAGGATGGGGCAAATAACGATCTCGAAACTTTGTAATTTAGTATCTTCCGAAATAAATTTAGAGCAAAATAAGATTGTGGTGTTTATATATTCAAAATTAATAATATAAGATGATTTATATTAAATTAAATACTGTAGGTTGATTTATATAAGTGTAAGTATCTCTATTTGTTATAATATCTCTATAAGTTTGATTAACCCGCCTTTCAGTTCTCTTCGAATTTATTATGATCATCATAATACTTTTAATTAAATATCGATAAAAAAATTTTAATACTATTTTCTTTTTACACCTCTTTAGTTATTGTCAATGTTATTAAATTTTACGATGTACTTTAATAAGAAAATAATCCGAACAAAAAATGATTCTAAAGCAGTGCACTTTTGTTATGTCCTTTGTAAGAATATGTGTATATATTCTAAAGTCTAAACAAACCATAACTGTTCATTACCGACACATATTTTAATTTATTAAATTTCTAGGAACATCCTCTAGAAATGGTTAATAAGCTTGTCTGGTGTTTTTAGGTTGATATGTTAAATTATTCTGGAATTTAGAACTCTATCATTAGAAATGCAACGGCACGTAAAATAGTTGATGTTATACATAATATTTAATGTGTAATGTGATTCAAATTAAACCAGAGAAGTTTCTATTCAAATTCCTAACAAAGCTATTTTGATCAAATTAAGCACACTTTCATTCGATTTGATACAAAACTTAATTGATAATTAAATCACTTTATAGGATGTATACATACTATAATTATATTGTTATAAACGGTATCCATAAAATGTTAAGAAATTAATGGAACAAAAAACACGCGATATATAAGAGTTGTAAACAAAGAAATTAAGCTAATTGCAGTTTTGTGATTGATGGTTGAGTTTGATGTAAATAGATAAATAAATTTAATCCTTTCCACTCGGATGCCGCCGCTCCGGCGACATAACACATATAAATTTTGCAAATCGCGAATGGAAATGGTTAAAGATAACTAAACAAAAAGTAAATCAATTTATAAAAATCAAAATCTAAGAGTTAAGGTTAAGCTTATATATATATATGACTTTTATATGTGATGTGCAAGTAGATTCTATATCTTATGGTAGCCACTAAAAAAATTTAAATTTGGCAGCTATATAATTTACTTTATAATTCGTATATGTACTGTATAAAAAGTCATAAAACTTCTTAAGAAAGTAAGATGGGACAAAAAAGACACGAATTATTAAAACAAAATTTGTCTAATATCTTATAAATTTATTATTATTATTATTATTATTATTTTGATAGGAAAGAACCTGATGAAAATATGAATGATGAAACCAGATAAATATTTAAAGAGCAAAAATATAGTAACATTTTTAATGATATTTTTATTTTTACTAATATTTGAACACCATTTTGCCAATATTTGTTTTTTTACTAATATAGGATTTATGGATGAACTGATGGATTATAATATAAATATTTATTCCACATAAATTATTTACAAAAGCTTGAATTTTCTGTAAATATTTACTAATAATGCTTAACGTGTTATAAATGAGCATTGGAAATCATTTTTTAATGAAATGCATAATAGTACAATTCATGGATTTAAATGAAAATACCGTAAGTAGTAGTATTATTTAACAGAAATGTATAACTAGTGGTGTATTGAATCGTGCCTTATGGCAAATTACCGAAACTACCCTTACCACAATGAAATATTAGAAAGAATAAAATTTAGTGAAAAATTTTTTTTTTGAAATTAAAAAATAAAATCTTTTCCCAAAAGAAATCGTTTCGTCAACGCAAGCAAAAAGCATACAAATCTAGTTAGTTCTCTCAAAAATTGCTATTTTTTGCATATTTAGCTCCGAATTTTTAAAGCAGCAGGACCTGCCATTGCCAAAATCTAATCATTATTACGAATTGAATATTTTTTGGATCATTCACATCGGATTCTCCATTCTCTAAAAAACACGTTTTTCATTTTCTGCAAAATTTGCTCCATATCTCCGAAACGGCTGGACCTGCCAAAAAACTAATCAGCATATCTCCCTATCAATAGAAATCGAATTTTTTTTTAACCATTCAAAATGGTTGATCTGTGCGTCCGAAAACGTAGACGAAAAATTGTATCCACACATACATACATACACATATTCACACAACCATTTTTTCTGAGGTATGCCAAAATGTTCAGAAACCTCTAAAACGTGAAGATATATAAACATTTTAATTTTTAATTTTTGTCTCATTACGGTAACTTACCCTACGAGAAATTAAAACTTAACATTTTATGCGTTATAAACAAAATTAAAAATAGTCTAATCCTTACTTTCATAAATGCATATGTATTACATGATTACATTATTTGTGTATACCGAAATTGCATCATAATAATTATTTAAAAACATTTGATGATGTAATTTTTCAAGTCAAATAAAGAAAATATATTTTCAAACTGGAAGTTAGTTGTAACGAATTCTAATTTTGCTTTTAAATAAACTGTGTCATATCTTATTTATAGTCGACCATATGCACACAAGACCAAAATATTCAAGTTGCATTCATGAACTAAAAATATCAATTCAGTGTTTGCATGCATCAATCTCACCATGATTTATTTATAAATATATAGAAATTTATTTATACATAAAGCTGATTATTTTGTTAACAAAAATATTCTACCAGAATATGTGCAGTTCGTATCTGGAATGTTAAATTTGAGTAGGCGTTACAATATATGTATACATTTCTTATAATCACCATGTTGTAATAATTTGCAGGTGAACTCCAAATATATAATCCATTGTTCAAAATATGAACGGGAGGTACAATTTTTACCGCAAAATAGATTTTTTTGCAGAATCTACAGATAAATATTTAGTTAGCAAATTCTTACTCAATTATCGTGGTACCAGTATTAGAATTACATCAATTTAGGTCAGAATTGCTTTTGTAACTTCAGGGAAAATTGAAAAATTATATACCAAACATGGGTAATCTAATATTTACAATTAGTAACAATATTTATCTAGTACATTAGCAAATGTAGCAGGATTAACTGTGCATCAGGATTTTTTTTATTTATTTAAAATTATACAACAATCAGAGTTATTGACAGAACTTATAGAAGTTAGAGGGCTAAATAAATAAAAAAAAATACACATAATAATAAAAAAATAATAATCACAGAAAGAAAAAGAAAAAATAATAAAAAGCAAATCAATAAACATTAATAAAAATGTATAATAAATAAGAAAAAAGTAAGTGCTCCAATAAGCAATTGACAATGGAATACAAGCATAAGGATATGACAATTTATGATTACAATTATTTATGGTGCCCTGCGCAAATAATTAATCATAGTTATAAATAATAGTTAATAAATTTATCTACAATGATAAACCCAAGTATTAAAATAAGCATATAACATGCAAAAGATGATTTGCAGAATCGTATTTTTTAGCTAATTTAATTAAATTTGTAATTTTGATCAAATGGATAATTTGTCATGATTGTTATATCATTTATGAATCTTTACTGATTTCATAACAGTATTGAAATGAAAGATGAATAAGAGATTATTAAGTGTAATATTGCTAATTCATCATAAAGTTTACTTGTAAAAAAATTGTATTTCTGAGTCTCTTGCTACTATTAGAAATCGATGTTTCGCTACACATATTTTGTATCATCAATTTTAAAATGCTCAATTTGTTTGAAAAATAGGTTTATATGAAAGAAATTTGAATTGCAAAGCGATTTTTTGAGTATTTGTATTATGTTGTTATTTCAAAATATTGGAATCTTACTTAATATATTTCGATTTCTGCGTCATTATATAATTTCACTTTTACTTTCGAGAAATTGAATACATCTGAGTGTATAATGGAGCAGCATGATTTTGCAGTTCAATATTAAAATGATTTCTTGAAAAACTACTAAAAATAAAAAAGCTAATGATAAATAAAGTAACTGTGGTGATATTTGAAAATTAAGATCATTAAATTTTCTTTAACTTCCTGCTTTCTCGATTACTGAAAGTACACATGACCATATGGAATGCTTAAGAAGTTGCCCGATGGAAATTACAGATATTTTTTATTTCTGCACCTATTCTATATGAAACATCAGCAAATTTTTTGTAGGACTTAGAATGTCTAAATCAGTAGTCGGGTAACAGAGGTAAATTACCCCAATTTGGGTAAAAATTAAATTTTTGAGGGTAAAAATTATGAATTTTTAAATGATATTCACTGAATTTGCTACATAGTTGTTCTTTTTACTTTTTACCATGGAGGTTGTATCAACTTAGACAAAAATATTTTGGGGTAATGATTAAAAAAGTTCCCCGACCGCTCGTCTAAATCGAATGTCAAACCAGTGATTGGTCGTCCAGATATGATGGGAAACAATTTTTTGTTGCATAAATAAAAATGTACAGCTAAAATTTTTCTCGGAACCTGAAAATTTGTTATCAAAACACATCGATTTGGTAGTTAAATTGATTATTTTTATTAAATACTTTAAAGGGATGGAATGACGTGGGATTCCATGGATCATCTGAAATTCCAACTCCAAATATAGATGCTCTTGCATATTCAGGAATTTTACTCCAAAATTATTACGTTCAGCCAATATGCACTCCATCCAGATCAGCGTTGATGACTGGAAAATATCCTATCCATACGGGTAAGATCCAAAAAATATTTTTAATTGATAGGATGAACATAAAAGAAAAAGTTCAAATATACTAATTTATATTCCGGTATAGTTTATATAATTTTTTTTTTTTGAAATAGGAATGCAACACACTGTCCTGTACGCTGCAGAACCACGTGGCCTGCCGTTGAAAGAGCGTATTCTTCCTCAATATTTGAAGGCAAGTAGCAATGAGCTTTGTTAATTAGACATGTATCATAAATCGCTTGATTATAATTACTTGTCGTATATTAACACATAAAGTTATATATAAAAATTACCGAGACATTAGCTGTAAATGGGATGCAGTTCCGTGAACTCAGACTATGATAAATTGAATTTAATATATCTATAAATGAATGTAGATATATGTATACAAATATTTTTATGAATATTAATACTAGATTTTATGAACATCGTTGAATATATTATACAAGAAAATGCTTTTCTAAGAACAATTTGCAACCGGTTTCAGAGAAGTAAGGTGAATAAGGGTACAATATCTTTGTTATAGGATAAGTTTCAAAAAAAAAAGAAAAAAAAAACCGATGTCGTCGGATCACGTTGGAAAATCCAGATCTTTAACGAATCTCGTGCAAGATGATTTAAATTGATATAGTAGTATATAAGACTGGAAAACAAGCGATGTCGAAATATTGCAACGTCTTTATATTTTGGAGTATAAATACATACATAAGTATAAATTTTATACTTATAAGAAGGTAGGCAAGTAGGTAATACAGATTCAGCGGAATAGTTTCAATATAATAGAAAATCTTGAACATTTTTAATAAAACATATAATAAATATAAATAATTGCATTACATTTATTGTTGCATTGCGGACAACCAGATATCATGCAGTAGGTAGTGCTGGGATAGGATCAATTTCCTCTTGAAAGTGTAATTAAAAATTATGTTAATGTGAAAATAGACTTTTCCCGACATTTCAAATTAATAATATATCATCAGTATTATCAATACTAATAATGATAGTTTATCAAATATAGAGAGACCAGATAGATAGACGGACCTTGGCTACCTTCTAAAAACGCAACTCAGTTAACAATCATCACATTGAGTTCTGTTTGCTATTCAAAAATAAGGATAATATATCATGATTCTTTATTATTCAGGATTTAGGATATAGCAATCATATAGTTGGCAAATGGCATCTTGGACATTACAGAAAACAATTTACACCTCTCTACAGAGGGTTCGACTCGCATTTGGGTCTTTGGACGGGTCACCATGACTATTTTGACCATACTGCTGGCGAAAAGGGTATCTATGGACTTGATATGCGAAGAGGTACATTTTTAAATAAGATTTTGTTTAAAGGCCAAAATACAGTAATTATAAATGAAGTCAACTTACATATATAGTGGATTTTTTATTGACTCAATTTATTCATTATATTGAGTTTTATTTACAAAATTTATGATACTCTATATCTTACATATAGGTCGTAATTAGTTTCAAAGGCTTTAATTACAAATAGAAAATATGCAACGAAAAATGAAAAAAATACAAGAAAAAATCTGCATTCCATAGCAATATTTCACAATTGTAAAAATTTTCAGAGATATCAAAAGTATCTGAAAGTATTTAATTTTTCACATAACTTATTACCACTACTTGGTAATAATAATTGTATGTTACAAATATTTTGTGAACGATTGTCGTATGACATTTACTAATCCATTTTTTATAATTTTCATTTTTGTATTAATTATATTCAATATACATAAATTTTACATTACAGGAAAAATGTTAGAAATTATATAAGCATGTACGGTTATAAATGTCAATTTGTGTGTGAAGGTTATTACTAAAGTATAAATATCATTATCAATTGAATTATTAGAACGTGTTTGATCTGCGTAAGTGAAGATTGATTTTTTCATAATAAAAACTTAATGCTCATGACACTTGTGCAGTATCTATACATATCGTAAATTCTCATAGGAATTTCGTTCAATGCCGAAATATATTTCAACAATACTATTTTATTATTTTTATTTCACCTTATTTTAGCTAATTTTGATTTTCTAGTGAGATTATACAAATGCAACACATGCAGGATTTTGTCTGAAATTGTTCTAAATTTTGAAGAAAATTTGTATAATAAAATATATAATAAATCAATATTAATGATATAAAATATTTATATCTTCTTTCAATATTATTTAACTAGTTGCAAGTCGCATTTTATTTTAAGTCAAGTTACATAAAAATCTTACTTTTTTTTAAATAATCGGCTTAATAAAAAACGGATTCAGCAACTTATAAATTTGTAACTAATAAATTTTAAAATTATAACTGTTTGTAAAATTATAATTATACTGAACTCTAATGAATTTTTATAATGACATTTTTCCAAGTCTATATTTCAGGATGTTCGTTAAAATAATGACCATTATCATCATATAAAATTACAAAAAAGAAACTATTTATTGCGATGAAATAGACAAGTCGAACTTTACACCTCAAGCTAATCATCACAATCCCTAACTGATATATTTCGAATGATTTCCAAATTTTCAAACGAGACACTGGATTTGTTTCGTGGACGAATATTTTGTCGACCAAAGGTTAAATTTTGGCTGTTATACACACAAATACTAATACACACACACTTTTTCCAAATTTCGTCTCAGAGATTCGGAATGACATGGTGCGTCGAGAAAATCTACAATTTACAAGTCGAATTTATTGGAATAAATTCAAACATAATATTTTGAAAAATTAATAAATATTCATAATGATTATATAAATGAAATAATAGAATATTTAAGAGTAAAGTTGATTATACGAATTTGATTATACGAATTTCATTGTTCGTTTTTCTTCAATTCAGGAATGGATCCAGCATGGGATTTGCATGGCCAATATTCGACAGATGTGTTTTCAAGAGAAGCCGTTCGTATTGTGGAAAAGCACGATGCCTCAAAACCCTTATTTTTGTACATGGCTCATGCAGCTGTTCATTCCTCCAATGCTTACAGTCCTTTGCCAGCACCTGACGATGCAGTTGCCCAATTTACAGATATTGATAATTTTCAACGAAGAAAATTTGCCGGTAAGCGGATAATTCATTAAAGTTTATATTTTTTCCAGTATTTATTTATATCATGTTGATATAATAAAAACTAAGTAAATTTATTATATAATATAATTTATTTTATATCTTAACAAAGCATTTTTTTTGTATTCTGAATCGTCCAGACATTTATTGCATTTAGTATACGCAATCAATTTACGATGAATGTGTCGAATGTAAATTTTGAAATTATTAGAATTATATTGCAGTGATTATAAGTTGGGCATTTGATAGATATGAATATGTTATACCTATGTAAAAATTTGAGACTATAAAATTATGATAAAAATTGTTTCCATGTCGTATAATAGGGCTCGCCCGTAGGTAAGAGGTTAAGAGCAACGGGACTTGTTTTAGAGGTCCCGGGTTCGATACCCACATCGAGTAGCCTGTTGTCAGGCAGCAGTGACAACGATTTTTACTTGAAAATATAGATAGCAATATGTTTCCAAGTGAAAATAGCCCTTGCCCCGCATTGCTGCACCAATAAAATGTCAACCCTATTAGATTAATTTTAATAACAAAATCATCAAATATGGATGGATTAACCATTGGGTTACCATCTAAAAAAATACGAAGAAAGGAGAAGTTTCAGCCCAACAGATCATAGGACGTAAGGTTCTGATTGCTATTCAAAAAAAATGTCGTATAATAAAACATAAAAAATAATAACACTGTAAGTGACTAAAATATCTAGTGAGGTCAATAAAAAAGTGGCAATGATTGTCAACACGAAGTTTTGCACAGCAAAGTTCTAACAAGTAACAGTCCAGTAATTATTCTAAGTTCACCTCGAAATTCGAGATACATTTGTATATTGACATCCTAAAGTTGTCATATAACCTACATATGGTATTGACACCCTACCATATGTAGGTTTTGAGACAACTTTAGGGTGTCAATATACAAGTATTTACAACTGGGTATCTCGAATTCCGAGATTCTTACCTATTTTAAGGGGGTCTTCCTATGTGATGAGTTGAGAAAATTGATTTTTTTTATTTCATATTTCGGTAGATTATACCTTTAAAAATAACATATTAAAATTTCAAATCGATATTTCAAATAGTTTTTGAGTTACAGCCATTTAAAAAGTATACATATAGTATATAGTACAACGATCATTTTATCTTTAAACGCGTTTTTCTCAAAACTGTGTTTTTCAAACTTGTCTCCATTGTATCCCAGAAACGGCTGGACCGAATTACTTGAAATTTACAGGGCACATTCAATATATTTAAACGCATGAAATGAACTATTATCAATCAAAAATTTCAAAACTTCGATTTTTTATAGCAAAAAAACAAACAAAAAAAAAACGCCTAATTTGCAACTTTTATTTCAAATGTCTATAAAACATCCAATTTTTTTTGTATTTATTTGATTGTATAATAGTTCATTCTGTGCTTTTAAGCCTACAAATTAAAACGCCGTTTATTTTTTTTTGGTCAGATAAGCCGATCAGCCGGAATCGTGGAGACAGTGGGAGCTCTTTTTTTTTGAAGGGGGGGGGGGGGTGTTTAGAGCGCTGTAACTCTAGTTGGACTAAATTTTTTTAGCTGAAATTTTATATTTATACTGTTCAAATATGTATTAATAAATGATAAAAAAACTTGAAGCTCTAACTATTTACTGGTCGTAGAAAACAAATTCTAAAATATCCCTAAAAAACTGGCCGTCACATAGGAAGACCCCCTTAAGCTTAAAATACTGGACTATAGGTACAATTTTATTTAGATTACATAATTTTCAAATGTAAGCCAAGATAAAGTTTTTTTCACATAATTTTATTTTTATGGATTAATTTAAATGTAACTATTTTAATCAACATAATTTATTTGACATTGAATTTATTTAGGAAAAACGATACTTTTGTGAAAAATATATATTATCGTAGGCTTTTGTTTGAGTATATGCATTTGGTTATTCATATACACATATGAAATTAATTATTAGATAATTTCTTATATATATATATATATATATTAATATGTTTGTAAGATCAATAAGCGATACATTCACGTATTGAATAAACAAATTTCAATCAACGTAATCGATACATGTTAAATAATTCGCAGGTATGTTATCGAGAATGGACGATGCTGTTGGTGAACTAATAGATGCCTTGTCAAGGAAAGACATGTTGAAAGATAGTATAATCGTATTTTCCACCGATAATGGGGGTCCTGCTGCAGGATTTAATATAAATGCTGCGTCCAATTGGCCGCTCAGAGGGGTAAATAACTTCTCATTGACGATATTTTTAATGTGATTCTAAATTTAGTCAAAATCACGTTTCGTGTAATTGCATCGAATATAATTATTTACCATTAATCATAGATCAATTCTAATAATGAAGATATATCAAGTATAGTCTAACCGTTGGCTTGTATAGTAGTAAAAGTGTTAGGTTCTGATTGCTGTTTGGAAATAAGAATAATATAAGAAATTGACGGTAGTTTGACTCTCAAATTTGCAAAGATAAAGTTGCCATCAAAATGTTATGAAATAATATTTCTATTAACGTAGAAAATGTTATTGACAAAAATATTTTTCATCAATCTTTTGGAAAATTTTTGAATAGTGCAAAATTTATATTACAAATTTATTATTACAAATATTTAGATACACGGACTATTCTCTAATAAACATGTTAATAGACTCTAGATGATTTTAACATGTAAAACTAGTAATGTATTTTTTCTACAAAAACAATTTTTTTGTCAACATAAGCCAAAAGTTTTTTGAATCATTCAAATCGGATGCTCTGCTCTACCAAAAACACGATTTTTATTTTTTGCACTCTTCGCTCCGTATCCCCGAAACGGCTGGGTCTGTCTTTTCCAAAAACTAATCGGCACTTTTCCTTATATCAATTGAAATAGAATATATTTGAATCATTGAAATCAGTTGATCCGTGCGCCCTAAAACCTGGACAGACAAATAATTGTACCCATACATACATACACATACACATCCATTTTACCACACATCAAAGGTATGCCAAAATGTTTAGAAACCTCTGAAAACTAAAAATATGCAAAATTTTCATTTTCGATTATTAGACGATTACCATTACTTACCCTACAGGAAGTTAATATTGTATTTTGACTTTTAGCAGAATTTTTAATCTATTGAATCCGGTGAGAAGTATAATCATAAATAGTTGATATATAAAATATTTTCCTCATTTTCAGAATACTATTAGAAGTTTTGCCATTTTTTTTATTTCCAGTAGTCGGTGTAAAGTAATTATTTTTGAAGTGTTAAAAGCTAATTAGGTATTGCATTTTATATGATTACTTCAGATTTGATTTTTTTTATGATAATTTATAATAATCGGTTACTATTCAGGTGAAAAACACATTATTCGAAGGTGGAGTAAGAGGTGCAGGACTGATTTGGTCACCATTAATTCAAAAGAAGCAGAGGATCAGCAAACAAAAAATGCACATCAGTGATTGGATGCCTACTTTGTTATCGGCTATAAAGGCAAATATATCGTGAGTAAGATGGATTATATTTAAAAAACTAGGTGATAACATATCTACATATGATAATTATTTATCAGTTCGATGATAGTTGGACGATACTAAACAGGTCACCATGAAAACGATGACATAATATTAATAAATTCACACGCAAATTTTTATAGAGTAAATATCAAGCTAGCTCTCATTATAAATACGCCTGATCGATGAAATAACCTATTTGCTGATATGTGTGATTGATGAACTGCGATAAATTCGTTCTTAATTTCGCAAAAATCTTATCTATATTTTTAATTAGCATTAAATAATCTTCAAATAGTAACAAATTGATTATTTTTCTTACAAGGATAAAGTATTTAGATGGCATGGATGTTTGGAGAGCATTATCAGAGGACACACAATCGCCTAGATCTCAAATATTGCTCAATATCGACGATATATATGGAAATGCCGGGGTTACTGATGGAAAATATAAATTACTAAAAGGTAAATATCTAACATTGTAACAAAAAGAAAATTTCCTCATATTCTTCATATATCTCTATCAGGAAATACATACAATGGCGTATGGGATAAATGGTTTGGTCCATCAGGACGTAACAAAACTTATGATGTGGATTTAGTATTAAGCAGCAAAGCAGGAAAAGCTTTGGGAAAAATCGGATATGCACCCACACCAGACAAAATACGGGAATTGAGGTGTGTGAATTTGTTCCCAAACTGATTGACTAACAAAGTTATTTATATAATTTTATTTTATTTTAATTTAATAGAGACGAAGCTGATGTAAAATGTCCTGTTCCTGAGTCAGCAACCGTATGTGACTTGAAGCATGCTCCTTGTCTGTTTGATTTGGAATTGGATCCTTGTGAATATAATAATTTAGCTGATAGGTAAGATATATATATATATATATATATATATATATATATATATATATATATATATATATATATATATTAGGGTGGTCCTTAATATGAACATTTTCGAATTTCCTTGCTCCCAAGGGCACAAATGGTTCCAAATTGATAAAAAACAATTCTTTCAAATTTTTGGCTCTTAATATTGTTTTTTAGATAGTGCGTAATTCGATCAATGTTTTGTATGGAAATAGCATGAGAAAATTTCCAAAAATTTCAAAAATGTTTTTAGATATAATTTAGCGAACAAATGAATGAGTTTTATTCAAAATTTGTCGCTAAATTATACCTAATTTTGTTTTTTAATTTTCAAAATTTTTTCCGTGCTATTTCCATACGAAGTTTGATTGAATTGCGCACTATCTAACTTATAACATTTTATTCATTTAGTTAATAGATATATATTAATTTTTTTTAAAAATATTTTTAATTTCAGTGAACCTGAGCTACTAAATAAGATGCTCAAACTACTCAACTCGTATAATTTAACAGCCGTTCCTCCGACAAACCTTCCAGATGATCGCAGAGCTGATCCTCGATTTTGGGACCACACGTGGGCAAATTTTGGAGATATTACATATTCACTAAATTCTATTCATTAGGTTTAATAAATTTAATAAATTTTTATGTGTTTTAAAATATTATTTTATTCATTATTTCATCCATTATTTCATCAATATACACTTATCATAATTTTTTGCAAGTAAAATATATTATTCAACAAATCTTTTATACGCTTAATCATAATTACCGAATAATATGACAATGAGTGATATGAGTACCATATCATTGTTATCTCGGTAAAATTGATTTTTAATTTTTTATCTTCGTTGAAACTACTAAAATATGATGTAGTTATAAAGAGCATTAAAATGAAAGATCACACACCTTTGTTGTATTTATTACTTATTTTAATTACTTCGCAGTTTTCTGCAAAATGTGAGCTATTAAAAAAACCGCACATAATTTTTATATTAGCTGATGATCTGGTGAGTAAATATACAATGGTTTTAGTATAAGAATTCCTTCACGTAGTTTTCTCATTCTAATACATTTAGGGCTGGAATGACGTAGGATTTCATGGATTATCGCAAATCCCTACGCCAAATATAGATGCTTTAGCATATTCCGGTATATCTCTCCAGAATTATTATGTTCAAACAGTATGTACTCCATCCAGGGCTGCTTTGATGACCGGAAAATATCCTATTCACACAGGTTTATAGATCTTAAGACTTTTCTGAAACTGTGAATAGTAATTAAAAAAAAATGTTTTAAAACCAGGTATGCAAAACTCAGTTTTGTTTGGAACTGAAGCACGTGGTCTTCCTTTGAGTGAGCGTCTATTTCCACAATACCTTAAGGTAACTTTCTATATTTTGTTTATAATAATATTGAAATAAATATATTTTGAATATATTGAAATAAATATATTGAAACAAATAATTGTAAATTGGTTACCAAGTATTATTTGTACGTTAATGATGCAAAACTAGAAGAAACTAACTGTGAGACAAAAAATAGAGCTGCGCCATTTATATGTGGTCAACCGAAATGTTGAATAACTTAAACAATTTTCAATAAATTTTGATAAACTGTTTTTCATTATCAAATTGTTAAGAAGAAACTGTAAGCATACTGTACGGTTTTAAATTTAATGATGAAAAAATTGCATTAAATCAAAAGTTTTTTTTAAATTGTTCAAGATATTCAACATTTCCATTGACCACATATAAATGGCGCACCCTGTAGTTATAACAAAAATGTATTTGTATTCATTTTGTAGTTAGAATCCTATCAAATTCCAGTAAATATATAATACATATAGTATTATTAGTATTAGTATATAGTAATATACTCTTCTTTATGTTTATTCTTCATGTTTCACAGTAAATTTCTCGAATTCTTAATATGACATTTACTAATATTAATTTTGTAACGAACTTGTCTCCCAACTAATTAATTTAGTTTATAGCTAGTTTACTATTCATTAGGATTTAGGATACAGCAACCACATGATTGGAAAATGGCATTTGGGCCATTATAAACGAGTATACACTCCTTTGTATAGAGGATTTGATTCGCATTTAGGATTTTGGACGGGTCATCATGATTACTACGATCATTCAGCTTTTGAAAGATACAAATATGGTCTTGATATGCGCAGAGGTAAAAATTATTTTTAATAATACAAAATATAGTAATGCAAAATACTAGTTGTTTTTACTCGTTATTATCTAGGTCTTGATGCAGCTTGGGATTTACATGGACAATATACGACTGATGTATTTAATAAAGAAGCAGTTAAAATTGTTCAGAATCACAATGCTTCCAAACCTCTATTTTTGTATATGGCACATGCAGCTGTTCATTCTGCTAATCCTTACAGCCCTATAACAGCTCCTGATGGTGTGGTAGATAGTTTTAGAAGTATTGAAAACTATCAAAGAAGAAGATTTGCCGGTAAGGCATTCAAATGACAAAATCTAATACCAGCTCTTTATACGATACCAAGTATAAATAACATCTCCTGGTGTTACTGCATCAATTTAATAAATATATAAACAGTATTAGATAAATGGTGAAATTATATCAAATATAGATAGGACAACCGTGATCTTGACACCCAAGACCGTTAGTATGGAAAAGTATCATCAAAAATCGCTAATTCAAAATAAGAATGAGAAATCACACCAGTACTTACCTACTTAGAATCTACCATTAATTACTCAAAACACAAACGACAAAATAAATCATCTGCAAATTAAACATATTAATAATAATTAAATAGATTTTGATAAATTGTATTTTCTAACACTAGCTTTCATGATTGAATAATTTATTAATGGAAAAATTATAATGAAATTGCAGCTGTATTGTCAAAGTTGGACGAGGCCGTTGGAGATCTTATTGATGCTTTGTCAAGAAAAGATATGTTAAAGGACTGTTTGGTTATTTTTTCAACGGACAATGGTGGTGCACCAGAAGTTCATGATAATGCTGGATCAAATTGGCCACTTAGAGGAGTAAGTATAATATTTTGATATTTTATTAAATATTTTACAAAACTATACGAATAGGTATCATTTTCATATTCTTGACAATTTTCAATTCATTGTCTACTACGATTTTCACAAATATTAGAGAAATTTAATTGGCAATGTACTAAAAGTAATGCTAACATGGCCTGTCATTGATATGGCGCGTATATACATCTAAAATATAATTACTTGATTTTTTCCAGGTGAAAGATACTTTATTCGAAGGTGGTGTCAGAGGTACTGGTTTAATTTGGTCACCACTATTAAAAAAGCAGCAACGAATTAGCCAGCAGAAAATGCATATGACCGATTGGATGCCAACATTATTATCTGCTATTGGCGCAAATATATCGTGAGTATAGTTTGAAGCAATTAATCATACGTATCATAATTAATTTAATATTTAAATATAAGTTTAGAGAATATTGATGGACTGGATTTATGGCAAGCACTATCAGAAGATGAAGCATCACCAAGAACACAAATATTATTGAACATTGATGATGTCTATCGACAAGCTGCAGTTATTGATGGAAAATATAAATTACTTAAAGGTAATACTTTTTTGATCATTTTATTTGACTTTTTCGTTAAGTTTTCATGGTTTACAAAGTCATTTTTTATAGAAAATCAGGCAAACAATCAATGGGGCAATTGGTATGGACCAGCAGGACGTAATGAGAGTTACAATATTCAACGTGTTCTGAACAGTAAATCAGGAAAAGCTCTGGCAAAATTAGGAAACACGCCTACGGAAGAAAAAATTAAAGAATTAAGGTAATTTTGACATAAAAAATATCATGTGTGATTTTCTGCATAAATATAAATATGACTATATGCACCGAAATAATACTGAAATTGCTTGATCAGTACAACATCAGTGTGTAAAAAGTATACTTTTTTTAAGAAATGAAGCCGATGTCAAATGTGTTAAACCAGATATATTTACTCCCTGTAAAATACTAGAAGGACCTTGTTTGTTTGACTTGGAAGCTGATCCATGTGAATATAACAATTTAGCCGAAAGGTATGTGGCATCGGAATAAATATTTTTTGTTGTGCTATATATGCCAGATTATTTGAAAAATGCACTAGAGATATACTCTATGCAATTTTTTCTCATCTATAATGCACATTCTTAAATACATATTTTATCTGTAACATGATCCTTTTGTATGTTTAGTGAACCAGAGTTGTTACATAAAATGCTGAAATTGCTTGATAAGTACAATGCTACTGCAGTGCCAAGAGGAAATCTTCCAGATGATCCTCGTAGTGATCCCAGCTTATGGGATCACACATGGACAAATTTTGGAGACTTTGTTGATTTACCGACTACAGCAAAATAAAGAAAAAAATTAATCTTTGGAGTAAATAAAGATGAAATAACTGACTTATGTAAAATACTAACCAAAATGTTTAATTTTGAATATAAATAATACAAATATAGGTACACTGTATCAATTTTGAGTCAACTTTTTAACTTACCGTAGGGTAAGTTATAGTAATCGCAAAAACATCGAAATTGACAATTTTTATATATCTTTACGTTTCAAAAGTTTCCGAACATTTTGGCATACCTTTAAAAAAATCGATGTATGTATGTGTGTAGGTGTGTGCGGGCGTGTGCGGGTGTGTATGGATACAAATTTTCGTCGACGATTTTAGGAACTTGTTTTATTTGTATTGATATGGAGACGTGTTGATTAGTTTTTGACAATGGCAGGTCTAGCCGTTCCGAAGATACGGGGCAAAAAGAACAGACCGTGCAATTTTAATAATTCAAAAAACAATTTACTTCTATTGACAATATGAAGAACTGATTAAATTTCTGGGAAGGCAGGACTAGCGGTTTCGGCGATCTAGTAAAAAAAAGTGAAAAAAAAAAATGCCATTAGGCAGTCTAAAATGATCATTAGACATATGCACATCAAATTATCAGATACTTTATGGAGATTTTAATAATATGTATCAATTTTGTTCACATTTCTAAGGGCTCTGTAACATCGCTTGTCTAAAACTAGTTACAGTATAAAATTCTGGTATGTGAATTAAATTTTGGATTCTTAATATATTCTGAATATTATGAAAATATTCTACTTTCATATGCAATATTCGAATAAACTTCATTTTAGCTGATGTTCAAATAATTTGTAGATATAATAAATGAGTTATAATACTATATATTCAATTATGCAATAGAGGTCAACAATACATAAAGACGTACAAGAATCATTTATATTTGCCTTCATTATGTTTTACTAGAAAACATATTATTAAACACAATACATTAATTAACATGGTAAATGAGGTTGTTTTGATCATAATTGAAGAACTATTATTTATAATTAGAAAAATAAAAAGTTAAATGAATACATATCACTATCTATACAACAACCGATAAATAACTGTAACGTAAACAGATTGAATTTTAATAACGTCATGTCATAATTGATTTTTTATATCTATTAAAATCTAATCAGATTTTATCTGAAATTTGCGTTTATATAAATGATTCTGTACAATGTTATTTGTTATTAGTTGAGTTATTTAATAGCGATTTCAAATATGATTCGGTTTTTGCATTCTCTTACATTATTTAGTTTTTTAATTTCCAGTTTTTTTATTTGTGGTTCAAATGGTAAACGACCAAATATTATTTTTATTCTAGCTGATGATCTGGTAAGTGATTTATATTAACATAACATTGCTTTATCCAGTAATATTATAATATTATACCTATTTTTATATATTTTTATATACCCGATAATATTATATTAATTTTTAAAAGTACTTTTTACCTCGAAATAGTTCGTCTATGGTCTTATTTTCGCCTGAATATATTATTACCAAAGAAACGTTTATTCAAATTCTTAGTTACTGAATCTTTTAGTTTTATGCAAATATGAAATGATAAAACTGTTATGTAATGTGTCTTTAAAAAACTGTGTCCTTTAAAAAACAGTTATTCAAAATATCTATTTTAGACTATGCAAACAATGAATATTTTAAAATATTACTCCTTTAAAAAGTGTGGTAAAGTCGTATACGATTGTAAAATGAAATTATATTGTCTGATAAACATGTGAAAATTATAAATGATAACGAAATGCAAATAATATGATAATTGCAAATATATAATAAAGAAGCTAATTTAATCCAATCAATGAACAATAAGGAAATTGTAACATTGTTGGTTTTGACAAAAAATTCTAAACAAAATGCCTTAGGTAAAAAATTTAAAATAATCGATCACTATTCTATATATGTGATTTAAATAAGTGCACTAAATGTGCGATTATATATGTGACTTTTATTTTACATCTGTATAATGTATATGGAATTATCTATTTCATTTAAAATTTTAATTATTTATGATACAGGGTTGGAATGATGTCGGTTTTCACGGTTCATCTCAAATTCCTACGCCTAATATAGATGCCCTTGCATATTCTGGTGTAATTTTGCATAACTACTATGTCCAGCCATTATGTACACCATCCAGAACTGCGTTTATGACTGGAAAATATCCTATTCGCACAGGTATAATATGAAAAATATATATTTTTATGATTTTTTAATGAACTTCATAAACTTCAGTGTAAAATCAAAATATTACGATGTTTTTGCACCTTTACAGGTATGCAACATGATGTTCTATATGCAGGTGAAGCACGTGGTCTACCGTTAAGTGAACGATTGTTCCCACAATATCTTAAGGTAAATTTGTAATATTATATTATAATTCAAATAAATACTTAAGTTTATACATCAATATCATATTTAATTTTTATAATAGCTGATAGAAGTTATTGTTTTTTGAATAAACAGTTATTTACATGATATGCAGATTTAAGAGTAGGGGGAAGTCCCCGAATGCCAGACATCTAAGGTTATTTATAGATAAATCAAAAAATATTTTACGAAATGTTTATTAAATTATGATTTATGTTAGATAACAAAGTTAGAAATCAAACTAAATTAACAAAAACGCAACCTTTGCTAAAAATAATTAATACTATTAATCAAACTTTGATAAGAAATATGATTTTACAAAGTGGTACCTAGTCCGGACATTTCAAAATTACCAGTATTGAACACATAGGTAGCCATCTCCACACTCTGGAGTGCCTGGACATGTGTGTTTGACAAATATTCTTAGATATTGCAAAAAAACTCGCCTAAATAATACGTGTTAAATAGAGTGTCCGGCATTAGGTGCCGTCTGGCGTTACGGGACTTTCCCTTAAGTAAAATCATAGGGATGAGTGTAAAATATATAAGTTTGCAATATAATCTAAAATTCGATTATATTTTAGCAAATTAAGTTGCTCTACTCTTATATATCAATATAATTACTGATTATGAAACAAATGAGCAAATAATTAATTAATTAATTTGAATCAAGTATATAACAGTTTCCTCACATAAATAATGCCATATATAAGCATTAGGACCTACTTTGGTTCTACTTCTTTCATTGAAATTATTTCTGCAAATTATCGTTGGTTTATTTTAGGATTTGGGATACACTAATCGTATGCTTGGAAAGTGGCATTTAGGACATTACAAAAAGGAGTACACTCCTTTGTACAGGGGTTTCGATTCTCATATAGGAGCATGGGCAGGACATCATGATTACTACGACCACACCGTTAGCGAAAATTCCTGGTTCGGATTAGATATGCGCAGAGGTAAGTTAACACAGTACAATTAATAATAATGAATAAACAATATTTATTTCCTTCCACAGGTTTGGAAGCTGCATGGGATTTGCACGGGCAGTATACTACCGATGTATATTCCAAAGAAGGTGTAAAATTGTAGAAAATCACAATTCTTCCGAACCACTATTTTTATATGTAGCTCATACCGCAGTACATTCTTCCAATTCCTACAGTCCTTTACCAGCACCTGATAATGTAGTCGATAGTTTCAACGGCATCGAAAATTATCAAAGGAGAAGATTTGCAGGTTAATTTACTGGAATCTGATTTTTAATCCGGTTTATCCTAACAATTGTTTGAATTTACAGCGATTTTAACAAAAATGGACGATGCAATTGGCGAGCTGGTGGAAGCATTATCTAAGAAAGACATGCTGAAAGATAGTATAATTATCTTCTCAACAGATAATGGTGGTGCTCCAGCTGGATTTAATTTAAATGCTGCCTCCAATTGGCCACTCAGAGGGGTACAATCATATAAAATATATACTTAAAATAATATCCTGCCTATTCGTTAATGATCTTCAGTTTAGAATTTTTAGCAGTAGTCCCATTGAACATAAATTGGTAACAATTCAACTATAGATTATGAATTGATTTTAATCTTTAGGTAAAATACACGTTGTTTGAAGGTGCCGTAAGAGGCGCCGGATTAATTTGGTCACCTCTAATTAAAAAATCTCAAAGAGTAAGTAATCAAAGAATACATATCAGTGACTGGATGCCGACGCTATTTTCCGCTATTGGAGCTAATATATCGTTAGTATAATTGATAAAACTATTATAAATTAGTGCTGTTGAAGACAATTCAATAACCAATGTTAAATTTTTAAGAATAAATAATTTGGATGGCATGGATTTATGGAAAAGTTTGTCTGAAGATGCACCGTCGCCAAGAAGTGAGATTTTATTAAATTTGGACGATAGGTATAAACAAGCTGCAGTCATCGATGGAAGATATAAACTAATGCAAGGTATTATGAAGCTGAAATTTGTAATAGATTTGCTTTATCATAAATTATGGTCTATTAACTTTTTGAAATCTCGGCTTAATACACGTAACATTGGTTACCTACTATTCAGTAGAGTCGATCACTAATTAATGATACATTGATAATTACGTTACCTAATTTTCAAAAACGAAATATTTTGATAACAAGCAAGGCCACAGATGATTTTAAATAAGATAAACGAGACCCCACAATCACGAATTTTCTAGACTTTGAGGTGATCGCGATCGACCTGTGGACTGCCATGATATTTTACCGTGCCATGATATTTTACCTTTATGAGAAAACGCTTATTGAAAAAAACTTATGATAATTTAATTTATATGAAATTCGTATTTTTAGTACAATCAGAATATATTTGATAAACAATTTCTTGTTCCACAAGTTTTGCATTAGACTGTGTATCCCCATTTGGCCATATTGGAAGACCCATCTTGATATTAGATAATGGCAGATAATTCTATATTTGAAAGGATAGACATTCGATATTTGTTTTATTAAGGTGACCATATCACAAGGTGTCCCGGTTTTTTCTAAAAATAATATTTGTCCCGGATTAGATTGTTATAGTTTTTAAAAACTATAGGTCTAAATTGAATCTTCGCTCTTACTTGATAATTAATTGATTTAAAAAAATATTACTCTTAAAAAAAAAAAAATTTTAAATAGTATTTTTTATTCTAAAATCATATTAAATTTTTTAGCATACATCCCTCCCCCGTCCAGGACTTACCGTCTCGGTTTTGACATAAAAAATATGATCCTTAGTTTTTTATATATTTAAGTGTAATTTTGAGTACGGAGCAAGCAAATCATCTTATTTATTTATTTATTTCTTTGGTATCTCTTTACCATACACATTTTCTGCATGCATTTTTTTAATAAAATCGTTAGATATAATATTTCTCCATATTGTTATTTCTTTCATATTATTAATTTCTAATGAAAATTTGCCTCTATGTTCTATATAATTTGCGCAGAGTCCAATTATATATATAACTATCACAAATTTGTACCAGAATTATATGAAGTTTTTACAATTAGTACCTACTCTCCCGCTAATTGAACATTGATTAATAAAAACTTTTGCGAAAAACGAAATTAAATTTTTGAAAACGAAGTAAAACAATGATTCGATAAAATAATAATTCATTAGTTGATGGAAGTAAAAAATTAGCAAATCATCTCTTAAAATTAGAAATGATATGCTAGCAATATATACATATTTGAAAAACATATATATGTATAAATACCAATTTATACAAACGTTTAAATATTTGCAATTATATCAGGAGACATTTTCAACGGAGGATGGAATGGTTGGTATGGACCGTCTGGGCGCAATATTACATATAATATGGACAAAATCTTAGCAAGTAAAACTAGAAAGGCTTTGGAGAAACTGGGATATGCTCCAACTCCAGAACAAATTACCTCCTTAAGGTGAACACAATTTTATTTAATATAGTAAACTCTATAAAAAACATAAAACATAATGAGGCTGAACATAAAAAAACACAAAAACATAAATTTCTAACAAATAAAAAATGATTTTTTTAGCTAATTTGCTGTATTAATATTATAAAAATAACTGTAAAAATTTATGTAACAAATATTTCAGAAAACAAGCTGATCTCGAATGCCCTGAAATTAAACCATCAACTGAATGCAATTTGAAAATGGGCCCTTGTGTATTTGATCTTGTTGCTGATCCATGCGAACAAAATAACTTAGCTCAAAGGTAAGAAAATAATACAAAATTGAATAAATAATATGTAATATAATAAACTATAAGTTATTTTCTATCGTAATAACTACAGGTCTGAAACTTCATTTTTGTAGAAATTTTTAATTATATAGGGAATACACCGATATGTATCAGGTACAGTTAGTGAATAATCTAGTTTAATATTAGTTATATTATTTCGTTATTAGACTAATGATGTAACAAAATAGACTTTAAATTATGATATATAGGATTGCACATCACTAGATTTCTAAATGTCAACAAAACTATTTTGACCAATCTAAAATTTCATAATTTTATACAATTTTCACTTGAAAATAAAGATAGCAATATGCAATATGTGAAAATAGCCCTTGATTCACCAATAAGAAGTTAGCCCTATTAGAGAAATCGTAGTACTAAAATCATCAAATATGGATGGATTAACCATTGGGTTACCATCTAAAAACACGAAGGAGAAGTTTCAGCCCAACTGCTTATAGGACGTAAGATTCTGATCGCTGTTAAGATTTTTTTTTATTATCTCTTTGATATCAAATAAATTTGATGAATTTACAATAGTCGGCCGAAAAGATATGGGTAAAAAAAAATGAACAAAAAATTCGTCCTCTTTACATTAAATACAACTGGGCCTGCTGGATATTGACAAAAAATACTGAATAACGCTTACATTTAAATTAATTTAACATATCTTTTACTTTTATATTTTTGTATTTTTAGTGAACCACAAATACTAGAAAAATTACAAGATTTACTGGCTACCTACAACTCTAGTTTTATTATGCCTCCAAGCAACCTACCAATTGATCCGAGATCCAGGCCGAGTCTCTTTGATCATACCTGGTCAAACTTTGGCGATCATAACATTACTTTGCCCTTGTAATAATAAATAGCATAAGATTACATTTTACATATGATATGTGATATGAAATAATATCTACTTGATAAAGGAGATATTTGCAGTGTTTTATCCATTAATTCATGTGCAGTAAATAAATTGTTGCATAAATTATTAACCTGTTATTCTTATCATTCTGAAGTAATAAAATAAATGTGTGCGTTGAGACCAACGCGGAGAATAAATTTCTAAATGTTTCCATGTTAGACGAAGTAAAACACAGTTAGACATAGTTAAATCTTATATAAAAAGTGCGTTAATAATTGAATTTGGTTTTCCATAATTTAAAGACATAGACACAAAGATCTAAGGAATTAATCAAAAGTGTGATAGTGTTTTTAAAATGTTGCTTTTGTAATCGTGATTTCCAAAGTTTCAAAAGTTAACACCATAATCAATAATATATCAGAATGCTTTCGTTCATCACTGACAAAATTATTGTTTTGTTAATTTAATACATTTTTATTACCTTTTAATAAATAATATCACACCTGATAAGTATTCTTAATAATATTGATTTAATACCATAATCTCATCTAAATATTGACTTCGTCATTAGCAATATCATAATCTTTGTTAGCCGATTAACTAAAATCTTATCACACAAATTTATACGATGTAAAATGTAAATTATACGTTTATTTATTTGTATAATTGCGAAATGGCTAGCCGAGAAAATATTTTTTTGTGCTTTTTTATATTTGTGTCAACCTGCTGCAGCTTCAACTTTTGCGAAAATGTTAAAAGACCTCATATAATATTTATTTTGGCTGATGACTTGGTAAGTTAATTAAATATTTGTAAAGCCTTTCTGTAAATACTATTGTAGAAAATATAATATAAATATAAAAATATTGTTTAGAAACAACAAGTTATTATCTCTTTTATCGATGATGTTATTATAATACTTGAAATAAATCTAGTATCAGTTGACAATGAGATATAAATTTGTGAAGGCAGAGAATAGTGATAGCTGTGTTTTTTTACATTTTGACTAACATGTCAAATTTAAGTGATTTTGATTTCGTAGAACTATTTTTGGATTTTTTATCAATTTACATACATGTTCCAAATTTAGCAAAAAACTTTATTTATCCATTCATCATAAATTAATAATTTTCAAATACTCAAGTAAACTGTTCAATAATTTGTCAAAAGTGCAACTGAATCAACGGCAATGTTGATTCAGTTGCCATAAGAATAAAATTATTCAAGTGATAATTTGCACATCTCACATTAAGTTTCTTTACAAAAGAAAAATTGTATCAGTAGTTTAAAAAGAAATGTTTTAAGGTGTTGTTCAGAATTTTCTTATGTTCATAGGTTTTTTTCATAGTTTGATTTTTACTATTCATTTGTTCAGTAAAACTATAATATTTTAGGGTTGGAATGACGTTGGATTTCATGGTTCATCTCAAATTCCGACACCTAACATAGATGCCCTTGCCTATTCTGGAGTGATTTTGCAAAACTATTACGTCCAACCATTATGTACACCATCAAGAAGTGCTCTAATGACTGGAAAATATCCAATTCATTTAGGTAATGGTCATTGTAATATTATTGAATTTAATTATAGTCATCAATCTCTATCAATATCAAGTCATCAATAGTCAATTTTATTAAAAGAAATCTTTAATTTTGCCCAGAAAGCTTATTTTTTTATTTGCATAGACTTATTGCCGATCAAAATAATATACATTCTTTAAGACAATATGCTGGGTGTAAATGTATTTAAGAGATTTAGCTCGGTATCTCCAAAACGTCTAGATCTAGACCTGCCTTTGCCAAAAACTAATCAGCACGTCTTCTCATGAATGTTGTTTGAAGCATTCAAATTGGTTAATCCGTGCGCCCGAAATCGTGGACGATAAATTGTATACACACAATACGTTCAAAATCCAAGAAGCCAAGTTTTCAGAAACCTTCAAAACGTGATGAAATGAAAAAAATTTCTATTTCGATTTTTGGACGATTGCAATATCTAACCCTACATGAACTTAGAAAATATGTACATACGAGTACATATATCATAAATTCAAATACATATATCTATATATAATAAGACTCAAAATATGAATCTAAACAGATACGTATAGTATAAATAATCATTAAAAACTCATAACCATAACATTTTTACTCGATATAGTGAAGGCCAAATAAAGAAATGCATATTGTATAAATACACATTGATTTTTTGGATATAGCAAAGAGCAAATAGTAAATGTACATGTAATATAAATTCATAAATCTGGCATAAATTTCAGTAATGATTCGATGAATCGAAACTGTGTTATAATTCCTTTAGTCAATTTTATTGTGTAAATCTCCAAAGATTTGCAAAGCAGAACTCGCAGTTTCATATGGAACCATTTTATTTACTATAAATACTATTTATGTAGCTTCAAAATTCATTCAATAATGGAATATATTTATATTTATTCCTAATTAAAAATATGTATTTAATTAGGAATGCAGCACAAAGTTATAGACGCCGGAGAACCACGTGGTCTTCCTTTAGGAGAACGTTTGCTTCCTCAATATCTTAAGGTAAGAAAACTGGTCCTTGGGTTGATATTCAAAATTAACCCCCCCCCCCTTCCCCATCAAACATCATGTGTTGTTATTATTTTTTACTTTTTTTGAAAATGTTCGTTTTTTTTAAAAAAAAATCGGTTAAAAATAAATACACGTGATATTTTACTATATCCTTCCCTCCCTCACGTGATATTTCATGATTTTTTGTCAACCCCCCCTCCCCAAAAAAACCTCACGTGATTAACTGACGCCCCCTTATAGATGCGTATTAATACCATACATTTTCCATAAAGATTTTACAAAAAATATAGATTGCAGTTCTAATAATAGATTATAATAGTCAGTTCTAATAATCTTTTATAATAATATTACATGAATCTAAAGAAATATAAGAGAATATGAGTAATATTATTAATGGACCGAACGAAATTTTCTTCATGATCTTGTATTTTGTAAATTTATTGAATGTCCTTTACTGGACAGTTGTAAATAAAAGAGATAATAATATTCTTGTATTTTGTATATTTTTAGGATTTAGGATACAGTAACCACATGGTTGGTAAATGGCATTTAGGACATTACAAAAAAGAATACACTCCTTTATATAGGGGATTTGATTCACATCTCGGAATTTGGTCCGGATTTCATGACTATTATGATCATTCTGTGTATGAAGAACCTTGGTATGGTTTGGACATGAGGAGAGGTAAATTCAATCATAAGAAAATTTTTACATAATAGAATGTCATTTTCAAGTGTATTACTATAAATTATTATTAATTTTTTAACGAAAATTAATTTCTATATTTTGATTAAGTAATATATTTATCTGCTAATAGACGAAATACGAACCTTTTTAATATTCGTACTAAAATTAAATTCAGCCATTTATATAATTTTTTTGATACAAGTAAATATATATTTAAATATAATAAAATATTTATTTATACTCTATTATTATATTTTTATAAATATTTTCAGGTATGGATGCTGCTTGGGATTTACACGGTCAATATTCAACAGATGTATTTTCGGAAGAGGCTGTTAAAATTGTAGAAGATCATAATACAACTAATCCTTTATTTTTATATATGGCCCATGCTGCAGTTCATTCTGCAAATACTTATAATCCTTTACCAGCACCTGATGAAGTGGTTGATAGTTTTAAAGAAATTGAAAGTTTCCAGAGGAGAAAGTTTGCAGGTATAATTTTAGCGCCTTTGTACGATCAAATTGAACTTATTTTACTGGCACATCTGCATGAAATTATAATTTTGGATACTTACTAGAGTATAATATAATATAAAATCAGAACAATGAATAATTTGACAATTATCATTGTTAGTTAACTCTGAATTTTGAAGTCAAATGAACCTTTAACCAAGTTGAGCATTGGTGATTAGATAAAAATCCCAAACTCTATGCAAAAATATTTCTGATAGATTTATATATTCATACGTGGTTTGTAATTAATTAAGTAATATTTATAATTTTAAAGCAATATTAAAGAAAATGGATGATGCTATCGGAGATCTAATTGATGCCTTGTCACGCAAAAATATGCTGAAAGATAGTTTAATTGTTTTTTCCACTGACAATGGAGGATCTCCTGTGGGAATAGGTCCAAATTCAGCATCCAATTGGCCTCTTAGAGGGGTAAGGATTGTTTTTGTTATAAATTATCAAAATGACATACTTTTGACATAAATTATTTATACTGGAAACGATATATTTTAATAATAAAACAACTAAAACTGATCCTTGATATTTTATAACTATAACGCTATAAAATATCAAGCTATAGATTTTATGAAGTATTTGAATAATCATCAACTTTAAGGTAATTTCTATGATTGAATCTAGATATATCTAATTCAATGTTTGAATTTTAGGCTAAATTTACATTATTCGAAGGCGGTGTAAGAGGAGCAGCTGCAATTTGGTCGCCTCTAATTAAAAAGTCTCAAAGAATTAGTAATCAGAAGATGCATATTAGTGACTGGATGCCCACATTATTATCAGCAATTAAGGCAGATATTTCGTAAGAAGTATTATTTATAAAACAATACATGAAATAAGTGATTTTTACATTGTTAAAATAAATTTTCTAAACTATAGAACAATTTTTTAGTATAAAAGGCTTGGATGGATTAGATTTATGGAAGGCGTTATCTGAAGACAAACCATCACCAAGGAGTGAAATTTTACTAAATATTGATGATATTTACGGTCAGGCTGCACTGATTAGCGGAAAATTTAAGTTGATAAAAGGTATGGATGTTTGAAATATATATATATATATATATATATAATATATATATATATATATATTATTTAGCTTAGATCCGTCGTTTCCAACCTATGGGGGTACCTAAAGCTGTTTCCAAAATACTATCTTCAAAAGCAAACTAAAAATTTTGCAATGGTATACAAAGGGGAACAAAACAGTAATTACTTTTTATGCACATTTTATCATAATATTCCAATATAATTTATAATAGTTTGATAATATCAGTCGAGTATTTATGAAATTACATTGATGGAAAAAATTAAGGGATGCGATTTTTTTTTAATAAGGACGAGGTGGCGCAGTGCGAGAAAGGTTGGAACCACTGGTGGATAATATACTCGATAAAAAATGATTAAATTTGACGTATTTTTATTTTCCTTAACCATCATTTCTAAACTTTTTAAAATTTGTCTAAATTGGTACTTTAAATTTTGCTATCAGTATTTCTTTAGTCTAACTACAGCAGCATAGTTATAGTTTTCCAAAAAACATTATTTATTCAAAAATATATCATTATATATTAAATGAATGTATATTAAAGTTAATATTTTATTACTAGGAGATATATTTGATGGAGAATTGAATGGTTGGTATGGACCTTCTGGAAGAAACGATACTTATGATATTGAGAAAATGATTGACAGCAAAGTTGGTAAAGCAATGAAACGTCTTGGTCAATCCCCAACAATTAACAAAATTAAAAAATTAAGGTAAAAATTGCAAATATGCTGAACAACATTAATGCGTCATGTCCTATTAAATAATTTTGTATTTTTTAAATATTTCATTAGAAACTAATGGTCTTTCATTGCATGGATAAGCTTCTTGAGCTCTTCAATGGTAGTATATGTAGCGAATGACCTCATAATTTTATAAAAACTTTGTTTTAGATATAGTGCAGAAGTCAAGTGTTCAGAAACAAAAGCATCTTCATCATGTGATTTGCAAAATGGTCCATGTTTATTTGATCTCGTTGCTGATCCTTGTGAACGCAACAATTTAGCAAACAGGTAACTGAGTGTTAATAATAATTTAATACATACAGTCTACAGCATAAATTTATTGTTTTATTTTTTTATTTTATAGAAAACCAGAGATCCTAAATAAACTCTTAAATTTGCTGGACAAATACAATTCCACTATAGTTCCGCCAGGAAATTTACCTAATCATCCACGAAGCAATCCTAGTTTATGGGATCATACTTGGACAAATTTTGGAGATTTTGATACTTCAATTGATTGACAATTTTATTACTAACAGGATAACTTAATTAATAATATTTTATTTTTTTATAAAGATTTTTTTAGAAATATACTTCAGCTCATCACAAAAATATTTTTATAGCACTTTCCTCATATGAAGTTACTAATATTATAACATAGATGTATGAGGTACTATCAATTTAATTTCATATTGAGAATGATGCCATCTTCAATTTAGATTTAAGACTAATTTTTAATATTAAAATGTGTCATTATAAGAAATATGTTAAGTGTGATACAATCAATAAGCTTTGTGAATCACGAAGTGTTAATATTTTTGAATATTCATCTATTTTGCCACTTTCTTCGTCTTAAGTATAAAGTAAATAGAACAAAAATAATGAAGTAAAATCAACATTATCAAATTTAATTTATGAGTGATGTATTTTTGCAACTTATAACTTTTTCTTTCGTTTAAAACAGACACGACGGATGGACAAAATCCTGCATGCAAAAGCATTAATATAATCTATTCCTATTTTTAAGTTGAACACACTTATCATAAAATTTTTGAAAGTTTATTAAACTTATAGTATGATTTATTACAAATTCAAAATATGCCAACCGAACACAAAAAACAATTATTTCATTCAGCTAATATATACAATGCATCCACATGTTAAAATGTAAAAACAAATATGTAATTTATTCATCATCGCAAATCCATGTAAGAAGAGTTCAACGAATGTGCATTTTCAATATAACACCATATCGAATTTTCGAAATTCTCCGAGGTCATTAATACATAAAGTTACTAGAATTGCCACAGGATAGTGCGTTGACTGCAACTTTTTTCAAAAATGCATCACTATAACAAAAGTATGTAACAATCTAAATATAATATGCGTACAAATTCAGGCAACAACAAACAAATCTAATTTCGTATTCGTATTCAGAATGCATTTTCATGATGTGTCACAGCAAAAAATCAAATATCGGCTTGTATTGTTCTTACAAGTCATTTGCATTTTTGGGTTTGCAGACGGCCACGGCGCTCTTTGGGAAGTCGTGGTAGTACAGTCATAGACCTATTTCATTTATTCAAAATCATTTCTTTGAATTAAATTATTAAAATTCGAAGTAAAGTTCTTTCTAACACTTTTGACCGCAGAAGTAATCGAACACAGTCATATAATGAAAATATAGAAATGAAATGGTTCATCTGATGATTCAGACATTAATCACTAAATAGGCACCCATAGTAAAGGATAATTAAATTTATTTCAGCTTTTTATTCTTAAAAACGGAATATGTCAGTAAATTACCTATCAAAACAAAATAAGAATGATATAATTTATAAATGAAATCAAGAATTAATGAAAACATTAAGGAGCATGATCTGAACAAAAATATCTAGTATATATATAGAGACATTATAATATGTGATTTTTTACCAAAATAGTATAGTACTATTTTTTCAGGGAAGTACATCAAATGAAAAGGTTTGGAGTAATGCTGACAAAATTTATTAATTTATTAAATTGTTATTTATTAACTGTCCGAATTAGACCTTGAGTGTTTAGAATTTTTTTTATTACAAATGTTAATGTTTATTCACATATATATGGATGCATGTGTGGGGCATTTATTAATAATTAAATGCATGCATGATAATAAACAAATCCAATACACAATTATGTACGTTTTTCAAAATTTCACGTATTAATAATAGTATTTTAATCAAACTTTATTTTTATTTACAGGTTAGAAATAATTTCACAAAATTATGACTAGATTGCAATATACCATTTAGTATGTTTTTGTGCTAAAAACTCCTGTAATCTCCCAACTGAAAGAAAATTGGTGAATTTACGAATTTATTGGTGAACTCTATATATTAGTTTTATATATGAAATCAATTTCAAAATAACTTTATATAGATATTAATTTTATATATGAAAACAATTATCACAAGGCTATCAATACTTTTTGTACATTAATCCTACTTTGTATTTGTTTAACAAACGTGATTTACTAAATTAAGTAGGAAGTGAAATTAAAAAGAAAGCTCGAGTCCTGCTCGAAATTTTCGTTCTAGAGTATTTAGATGACAAACCAATGGTTAATATAATAGTGATCATAGATACTTAAATCAGATGCAGCAAGAGCCAGAAAGAACCATTTTAACCTAGAAACATATTTAAATATAAGTTTCAAATAATTCGAGATCAGGTTTTCATTAGAAAGAAATGTTGAGATGAAAAGTTGTGGGCAGTCATAAAAAGGGCAGTTGCAAAATAATAGGTCTAATAAATTGATTTGGCTCAAATAATAATACAACTTCTCTGGGTAATATAATGCATATTTATCATCAACATTTTACAAAAATTTGCAGTTTATCAAAATTCCAGAAACTAATAATACAGAAATGATATGATTGAACCAAACACCAATAAATCCTGTGGCACTAAACATAGACTTAAATGGTTTTAAATCCTTAGTTTTACAATTATAATTATACCTTTTCTACTGGACAATTTGTTATAAATTATATAGGTATATAGTTATTTATTACAAATATTTCAATAATAATTTATTACCGCACGTGCTCTGTACTCTAGAAAAATAGTTCATAATAAAGACAATAATGTCGTGATATTTTCTACGATGAAGCTTGCAATTTCTAATCATAGCTTCGATCTTGTTTATTCTTAATAAATATGTCATAAATAAAAATCAATGAAGCGAATAAAAAAAAGCTATGCATTCAAGCGCAACCTGGTCTTGTCTAGTAAGTTAGGCAACAAATTCTGTTATATCATTTTTAACACTTATATCACTAATGTGTCCCAATCTTGTTTCTAAATATTGGATATAGACAAAAACGTAGACCAAAGAAATTAGAAGTAGATATTTTGAACGATGTGATTGTTTTTGAAATTTTAATCCAATAAGCAAAATTTACAAAATTCATCAAGGAGTTTTATAAATCAACAATAAATTTTGCACAAAAAAGTGGACATAAATTAAGAACTAAAAACATTTAAATGAAAAATCTTTAATATTCAATAGGATAGAGAGGGGGGTTAAAAGTCCACCACCGATATCTCAAAAACAGGTAAATTTAAAAAAAAAATTTAACAACAATATTTGAAAGTAGAGGAAAAATGAGCCACCATCTTGATTCTTACGTCGTAAGTAAAAACAAAAAAATAAGTTGAAAAATCCATAACAAAAATATTTTCTCTCATTGTTAGTTTTTTTGGTTGTGAGCACTGTTGTTTAGTTTACAAGACCTTAATATAATTTTTAAGTATACGTTATTTGAATGTTTAATAAGATGTGTTCTTATTTTTAATTTGGATTCAACAGTTTTTGTTATATAAACTCTATGAAAGCTTATGTGCTGATGGGGTAAAAAATACCATCTGAGCATTTCCCTAACAAGGTGTTAACAATGAAAAAAAGTAAATCAAATTAAAGAAGCAATTTTACAATAAATAAGTTAAATAAATAGTTATTCCGACGTAGCTTCAAACATAAATTTTTATCTGTTAATTAAAATATATATCTTATTTGAATTCGTACGATTTTTTTCAAGAAATGATATTTTTGATCTACTAGTGCTTTACAGATTGTTTTGATTCTGTGTAGTCAAAGTATATAAGAGATTTATAGATCACATTACAGATTTCAATCTAAATACATAAGTAAGCGCTTTATATAGAAATGATAACATTTTTTTCAATTTCGGAGTCTTACTTTGATAAAGAATACTATTAACCGTGGGTAATTACTCATGTATTATTTAGCAATTAGATTCAAAATATATTCTCTGGTAATACAAATATTGAATGAGTAATGTAAACTAATTATTCATTTTGATGTTACATGTATTACTACTACGTTTTTGATATCATTAGCATTGTAATTAACATGTACGCACCTTTTGTTTATGTCTTTATTACAAATTTATTTTTGTCAATAAATATTTATATTTAAAAAAAATTGGCAGGCAGCAATGATTTCATTTCTGACCAAGAACTGAATATTGCTGCAGTGATATAAAAACAATTAAAATCATATTTCAAATCGGGCTTATCTTCAATCATAAATCATATGAATATATGCAATCTATAATATATAATGTTTATTTTAAATTATTTTTATATCATACTCATTTAAAAGCAAATAATTGAAAGCATACCTCAGCACGCATTTTTGAAAAAATAACAAGTCTCAAAGATACTAATATTTATATTAAACATACCTTCCATATAAGTTTATCAAATAACAAAATAATAGACTTCCTCAACAATTTACAAATTGGAAACATTAAATTCGATATCATATGACTAAATAAGGTGTAACAATTAGCAAAAATTGATGACGACCTGAATCTGCTGTACATGCATTATTCATAAAAACATCTTGATAAAAAATTGACGCAGAATTACGAATTGTATACTACTTGGATAGACATACATATTAGTATGAAGAGATAACGTATTACAGAGAATGTTATCAATAGAGGGAAAAATGTTTACTAACATTTTTAATTTTGTTTATATATTATATATATTGCAAATAACGAGATGGAAATTTAACTTGCTTATAAACAATACATGGAATATTGTTGATGGATCATTTTTTAGTTTATTTATTTTTCGTTTGTAACGTAAAGTAAGTGTTTTTGGTTCACAAATATTCTTATTTAGTGGAAATTTTTTTCGTTTTATTTTACATTTTAAAAATTGATTGTAAAATATAGATCAAATATATGTTTTCAATTGAAAATAGCCCACTTCGGGCACTGCGGTGTAAATGGCAATGGAAAATCTTTCACATTATTATTCTTCCTAAATTGTTGGAACTTATAATCGAACCATTTTGATCAAATACTCTTTTGACTAATTTGACTTAAGCACTGCTAAATCTTACATTTGATTAAAATGAATAATTGCAATATCGAGTCCCAGGAAAAACTATTGGAAATTTTCATCGAACCATTAATTGTTTTGTTTGTACCATTGCCCAGCATTTATTTTACGTAATTACAAAGTGCGCAGTTTCATCAATTAATCCATTAAAAGAGTCATTCATTCATTCAGTTGCAGTTCATTCCAAAGTGATATATGCACTCTTTAATTATTGAGTCATGATTATATCATTTTGAAAAGGTTTAGGAATGAAGATCTTCATTAACAACCGAGCTGTATCACGCTCTAATTAAAAGCATATTATTTTCAGCATTTATTTAAGCGGAAGTATTAAAGTTCTTAGAAGATGAGCATGTGCCGATCAGGCTGAAGCTAATTTTTCACGAGTGGAAAATGATGATGCGGAAATTCCAGCTTATGTATTGATTTTCATTGGAATATATTGAATAATCATCTAATAAATTTAGATTAAGCTAAATATTAGGCAACTACAGTAAAACTTAATATTTCAAGGTATCAATAAATGTTTACTCGAGTTTGATTTACTACTTTATTACTATGGAACTTTTTCAGATAAAACAAATGATAAATGAATTTAATATATGCAATCCTTAAAATAATAATATTGAAAGTTTTAATTTTCAGACAATATGCAAAAATTTACTATTTTATGCTAATATTGAAGTCTACGCAATACAAAACCATAAATAAAAATAGTTTCCATGTTTAGAAACATGGCAGCAGATTTCCTGAGTAATTATCATTTTACATGATTTAATTTTGGTGTTTATACCAATTTGGTTCAATGTTTTGAGAAATAAATAAGTCTTGTATATGAAAGATTTATAACAAAGACAAATTTAACATCCAATTTCCAAGAATTTTAAGGAATTTGAATATCAAGATAATTTTATGAACACAAAAACTCTTAAATATTATTTTCTAATATATGCGATTCTCAGTTTATATGAAATTATTTTCTTCTAATGGATAAGAAGTTATGAAACTTTACTTGAATAAACCAAAAATCATCGGTTTGTAATAGTACTTATCGTTACTTTTGGCAAATTTGGCATACTTGATTAAAGAGACGAATTGTTTTGCTGATGATAACTATAATTGTTTTTAATTTTTTAAATCCTAAAATATTTTTTGAATACTCACATTGTTCTATCCACTCACACTTTATTGTAAGTAATATTTTGAACTAAAATTTAACTTATTAAGACAAAGGATGCACATATACGAGTAAATGAATTCGTCACTTTAGGATTCACTTCCAGTTAATTGACCCCATCCAAGTCAAAATGTATTATGAGGTGTGGCTGACCACACACTGCAAAAAATAAATCCAACAAAACGACAATTCTGGAGCGAATATTGAACACACTCTAATGAATCAGCAATGAGTTGGCTTAGAAAACTAAATGTAAAATGGTTTTAACTTTTTTTATTTTGCCATATAACTTACAACTGTCCTAAGTGGATATTTTGTAAATCCAAAGACAAATCTAACATATGTAAATAAATGACATCTGATAAATAAATGACAAAAGTATAAGAATACAAAAAATAATTGAAAAAGAGTCTCCTGCCAAAGCAAAAAAAAAACAAAATAAAAATGGGTAAGCAATTAAATATGGCTTTAATATTTTAATTTGTGAAAACTGTTGAATGACGCAGGAGTAAGTTCATCAATAAACAATTATTTTTGACAAGTTTACTAAAACTGAACAAATATTTATGTGTTATAATTTTACGCACCGCGTTTTTTTACGCATTCTCAGAAAAACTATTAGTGGGTGTTAAGTATTATTATCATATATATATATATATATATATATATATAATATATATATATATATATATATATATATATATATATTTAATTCGGTTTTTTGGACACAAAATTATAAACAGGGATTCACCGATTTAGATGATATAAATATTATTTCCAAATTAATAATAATATGAGTAATATAATATACGAAAATGATAAATGATAGAGTTTATTATCTATGCACTTTGAATTTATAATATTATATAGTATGTAAAATTGTGATGTCACTGGATGGCAAAAGATAATGATATTTATTAAAAAAAAATCTCCTATAGTATTTGAAATGATCATGGCAATAAAAGAATTTATTAGATGTAATAATCTGAAGATTTTAGAATATAAATATATATTGGATGCTTTACTTTAGGTGAGTTGAGTTAAAAATCTAACTAGAATCAGGGATAAATATAGAGATGATAATTGAGATTTTCCATTGGTATTTTACACCGCAGTACCTGATTCTGCCTATATTCAATTTGAGTACATGTATTTTTGATTTATATTTTCAAGTGAAAGTTTATAACTCTACTGCATGATATCAGGTTGTCGAGAGCGCGAAAAATAACAAATTTATTTCGATGCGCTACTATTGACAAATCAAGTATGATTGAAATTGAAAAATGTAATTCACATGAATATATAAAATAGTAAACTTATTAATAAATTAGTTGTAAGTGGTATTTTGCCTTAAGCCAAGTTACATGAATTTTCCGACATATGTGTAAATAATAGTCTTAGTCAATAGATCAACTTGTGAGTAATTTATAAGTATTCCGAATGGTTTTATTACACATTATTGAAAATTGAGCATGTGCCTAATACAATTCGGAGTATTTTCTAAAAGCAAATTTTTCTAAAATCAAGCTTCTATATTTGAACCAGTTTCCGTAGGACTATCGGTTTCGGAATTGTGAGCTAAAGCGTAGACGACAGAGTTTACACTTTTTTGCTGATTGCAAAGAAGAAGCTCGGCCGATCGTTGCGCAAAATTTATAAACGCTAGTCCTCAACGAGATACATCAAACGATTTTAAATTTTTGAATTTTGTTCAGTCATTTTTTAAGAAAACGCGGACGAATAAAGACAAAAAATTGGCTCACATACAAATACACACACTCATACACATACATTTTCCAAATCTGGTCCCATTCGATTCAGAATGGCTGGGAAAAAACATAAAATTGGTCGGAAACGTTGAGAAAACATAAAATTAGCAAATTGGATTTTTTGGGCAAAAAACATAAACTTCGCTCTCGGGAAGTTAATAAATAATATTTTTTTTTTTTTATAATATATTTTAACAGCAATCAGAACCTTACGTCCTATGAGCTGTTGGGCTGAAACTTCTCCTTTCTTCGTATTTTTTAGATGGTAACCCAATGGTTAATCCATCCATATTTGATGATTTTTTGTTATTAGATTTAATCTAATAGGGCTGACTTTTTATTGGTGCAGCAATGCCGGGCAAGGGCTATTTTCACTTGAAAATATATTGCTATCTATATTTCCAAGTGAAAATCGTTGTCACTGTTGCCTGACAACAGGCTGCTCGAAGTGGGTATCGAACCCGGGACCTCTGATTCAGGTCCCGTCGGTCGTAACCACTTACCTACGGGCGAGCCCAATAAATTTTTGAGAAAGCAGATTCTCCGTCGGCGTTTTTACAAACAGGATCTGATCCATAAATCAATAACATAATGCTAGACTAACTAAAACAAGCTTTCTGAAAATAAACGTTTTCCGATTAGACGAAATAAATATAAAAAATATTACGATCTATTTTCACTTTTCTTTAGAATATAAACAACTTTTATAGAATATAGTAACTTTTATAGAAGATTCACGGAAAACATCATTGAAATACCCAAATTCTTGCGTCGGCGTAGTGATTCTCTCTGGCCCGCGTAGTTCTGTTAATCTGAATTTGCAAGAACCGTGTATCTGGATCAGCTGGTGCGAGTCGCAACCGTCAACCGTCAACCGTCAACCGGCCACCGTTCGCGGTTCGCGGTTCGCGTCGTCCGTGCCAAAGACTAATCAAGCGTCTGTCTCCAGCCAGAGGGGGGCGCTATAAAGCGCGGATCGACTCCGAACAATATTAGTCGAACGTTAACAGTCGAACGTGTAGCGCTGCGGTGTAACTTTTATTCAACAGATGCACGCGCGCCGACGACGAACGGAGTGAACATCGTTCGAAGTGAACGTTAAATTTTTGAAAATTTTGGAAATAATCATACTTAATTAACGCGAGTGGTTGATAATATTTTGTATGTAAACTTGTGATTTGATTTATAAAAAGTTTTTGTAGTTACACGAAATGAAAATGTACGTCGTAAGGACTTTTATGCTGTTGATGACAGTTTTATTGTCAGCTGTTCTGGTGTCATCAGGACCTATCTCTTCGGATGCTCAGGCTATTGTAAGTGAATTATTTATTAATATATTTGCTTAGTTAAACTGTAGTAGTATAATTAAGCTATTAATTTAAAATATGCTCTAACCTGTTAATTTCAAATAAATTCAAATTTGTCCTTAAATATTATTTAATTGAACTTTGATTTGGTGTAAAATAGGCAAAGTAGTATAATTGTAGCTGTTTATTTAAAATATGCTCTAACCTATTGATAAATAAATTCAATATTGTCCTAGAATATCACTTAATTGACCCATAATTTGGTGTAGAATAAATCAATTCTAAAATCGAGTATGATAGGACTGGACACAAAGATCTAATGTGACCTTTAGCAATTATACTGTGAAAACCAAATCAACTACACCAAATCAAATAACACATATCAAACAAACAACTATCTAACTATGTTCAGCAGCAGCTAATTCATGTTTTTTTTTGATATTTTGAAAATTTGTGACGGTCGGGGGACAAAAAGGTCCATCATTTTTATTTTTATTTTGAAGAGATTTTATGGAATAATAGCTTTCGTCAAATTACTTATTTTTAACTTATTTTTCATTTTTATTTACAAGTTTCTTATTGTTTAATCTCACCCGTATAAAAGTCTAGGTGGTTATTTTTACCCCAACCAAGCGTTCCAGAGGTTATATAAAAATAAGGGTTGAATCTAACTTTTATTTTTTAATTTTTATTCTATACATAATAGTACATATTATAAAACAATTAGATGAAGTATTAGGTTGTCAAATATTTCCCTTTCGCTTTTTTGCTCTTGGTTTATAATACAAAAAGGCGGAAGGGAGATATTTGACAACCTATTATATATACTAAAAAATTATATCCAGGTATCTTAAACTAAACAACCGTGCTCAAGAGCAAAAAGACTAAGTACACGTATCAAACAAATAACAAACATATATCGAACAAATAACTATCCAACTATGCTCAGCAAATTCCTAGTTAGTTCTTCATTTTTTTTGTTATTTATAAAAAAAATGTGACCTGTAGGCGGGTAAAAAAGGACAGACAAGAGGCAAAAAGATTTGTCATGCTATTTTTTAATTTTAAAAAGGTTTTATGGGATGATAGCTTTTGTCAAATTACTTGTTTTCAACTTATTTTTTATTTTTATTTACAAGTTTCTTATTGTTTACACTTCACCTGTTTAGGTGGTTTTTTATCCCAACTAAACGTTCTAGAGAACAAAAAGACTAACAACAGAAAAAATACTATTTTTAGAACATTTACAATGTGGCCGTTAATCGCGTGGTAGCGAAGTCGCCCGATTTAAAATATTGGCTGGTTACGCATCTTTTGCCCTCTACTTTAAAATATTATTGTAAAACAATTCCTAACTCTACTTGTTTTTAAGATATTGGTGGTGGACTCTTTTACCCTTGAACTTTTGAGTTTCGTTCTATCCCATATATATGAAGAACAAAAAATACAAGTGATTACAAAATTTAATTATGTAAAAATGCCACAAAATATCACATTTACTAAACCACATTGATATAAATAACAAAGTAAATTATATAAAATAATAATCAATTAACATTGAGCTTTTTCAAATAAAATTCGAACAGCTAAAAAATATGACTATTCACGCACCCCAATTGGGAAAATTTAACAATTAATTTGTATGTTATTATTTGATAAATATAGATAGCCAGATAAATACTTTATCTAGCAACGACATTGTTTTAACTGTGTCAAAACCCGATTTTAATTACAAGAAGTAGATTCTACTAGTGACGCAAGAACGATTAAGAGTTAGTCATCGCAATTCAAGTTATCTATGACGATTTCAATTATAAAAAGAACATTCTTAACAGAGATCAAAGGTTTGCATTGTAGTATACAACACATGGTAAACATACAAAAAAACTATATAAAATGATATTTAAAGTTTTTATAATATTGAATATTATTGACTATCTGCAATTCGATATTGCCTGCATATTGTAGAGTCTGTGACACATATTTTGTACGTGAATTATGCAGTATTGGGGGAGGCGTGCTAGCCTGTTCAGGGTACGGTTCAAATCATTTTAGGACATCAGTTTTATTGATCAACAAATTAAATACATGCGACTAGTAGAAATTTCAATTAAAATATGATAAGACTTATTAACGATATATGTATTAACAGCGTCATAATATAGATTATGTTATCAGAATATAGCTTGTCAATTTTACTAGCACTTAACGGCCAGATAATAATTTGAATAATTTAAATGATTCAAATGGTGCTTTAATTCATTATATTGGCTTGCACGTTATATTTTCATCATATTGAAAATTGTATCTACAATAATTGCCTTCAGAATGGTAGTGACAAGCATGAACAATAGGCCAAAGTACTAAAATGGTTTATAACGACTTTTATCGTCAGCAATATGTAACATAACATAAACATTTGAACAAAGCTTTTGAATACAACATAACAATATATAACCAAACATAATTTTTTAAACAAAGTTTACAAGAAATGAACAGATCTTTTTGAGAACATGTCACAATCGTACCCAAAAAGTTTGTCACAACCGTTTGACAAATGTAACGTTTGATCTAAATTATCTACGCAAAAACTAATTGCTGGTAATTAATTACTAATGTTCAACTGATCTTGATAATTGAAAGTTATACTAATAAGTTTGTGTACGTTAACTTTTGCTTGTACTTTTTATAATCAATTGTATATAAATTTTTAATAGAAACTATAAAGATTAAAATTTTCCTTCAATCTTAATTTGCATATGACTCCTTTTTTCACTGGCCTCTGCTAAGCATTTAGCTACATACAAATTGTACATATAGTTTTTCGTTAGATGATTACATTAGTATTTTAATATACATACTTAATTGTATAAGGATAACAATTTAAATTTAAATCTTGCAATATTGATGGCAGATTAAATGACTCAATTTTTTAAAAGAGCCTTTTATAAAACATTTCAGTTTACCATTAATTTTTTAATCGCTCATTAATGATGCTAGGTACCTTGTTCATAATTTCAAACAGTTTTACTCAAATAATGGGTTCATGTATGTAGTAAAATATAGATTAAAATTCTTAAAATATAAATTAGAATTAAAATATAAATTTTTGAATTAACTCTTCCACCATTTCTATTAGAATCTTATTTTATTTTTTTAAGTGACTGTAAAACTTTAATTATCAGAATGCTTTCATCTAATGGTCAATAATGTTAATACGTTGCCCATTAAATTATAGTATTTTATTTTGGCAATAAAAATACCTTAATTTAATGGGCTTGCGCATGTTCAAACTAAAATATAGAGAATTTTTCCTCTATTCGTTTAACTATTAACTCACTGATGAAATAACTTCTCTGAACAATTTCATTTTTACAGTATATTAACATCAAAACATAACCAGTTTTCGCTCAGAGTTCCCCAATAATGCAAATGATCTCCGAAAGATCGAAGCGTGCGTCATGCCAATCGACATTAATTATTTTAAGAAATACCGAAAGATTTCTTTGAATTTTTCTGACTCATTTATGGTCTCTGGATCTGAGAAATGAATGAAACAATATCTTACTATAAATTAAATGCATTAGTAATATACTTGGGATTATATAAACTTGACCTGTAAATACTATTATTTCACCTACGTACGGTTGTAAATTATAATAATTTGCAGAATAAATGGACATAGTATTAGAGTCATATATTTTTCACTACTTATAAGGATTTAATTGGGTGAATAAGCAACATAAAACTGAATATGAAAATAATTTGAGTTCTGAATAAATTAATCATATATTAATAATGAATTCATACTCAAATGGTAATACAATATTAAATAGTTACGAAATATTAATATTCTATACTAAAATTTTAACAGGCGCGCAAAGATACTATAATCGGTATTCTTTTATATTAATGCATTTGATCAGATCATGCATTCAGAGTCTTTTGCTTAATTATTTGCTACATTTATAACAATTACTTGAAAGAAATTGAGTCATTAAGTAAATATACCATTTAAATGTTGCAAACTTTTCAGTGAAAAACAAATGAATATAATTATTTATAATTAGATTAATCTATTTTTTCCTAAATCAAACATTATTATATTCTCAGAAAAAATTCAACTAATTGATAATAACTTTGCAAGGTATTTCCAAGGTATCATCATGCCTAAAATGAGTAACAATATTTATTTACCAACGCCTATTATTTTGTATCATATCTTAATGTTTGAAAATTGATAAGAGAGCATTCTTGATAGTTGCTCACTACCTTTCGCAATTAGACGGCCTAATTTTAAGAAAAATGTAGATAACACGTGTTACAATGGAAATAAAGATTCATCAACATGATTAGTCAGCAATATAAATATATTTAAACTAGGTTTACTGTTTCATGAAATATCTTCCATATTTTGAAAAAAAAACTATCATAGAAAAATCACATGAAAAAGTCAACCTGCTCTAAAAATACTCCAGAAGATATTGTTTTAGTACAATAAATATTCAAAAACATAAATTTACTTTTACTGCAAAAAATAATAAACAAAATATTGCTTTAGTTCAATAAATACTCAAGTAATAAATTGACTTTTACGGTTTAAGAATGAATAGTTTGTACAAAATTATAACATTATTTGCATAAAAGATTTATCTTGACTGCAACTTTCGATTACCATTTCTAAAAATTTTATTGCATTGAAAAAACTATTTTTGCCAGTTCTGTTTTAAGTTTCTTGAATTATTTATTCTTATTAGATTGATTTGATTTAGCATGTATACCAAGAATTGAATAGGTTATCAGTTAAATATTATTTTTCACGCATTCTACGAAATGTTAAGTATGTAAACATATTTTATATAAACTAAAAATTAAGTTTTGACGCTGCTTAACTATCTCTAATTAAATAATGCCACTATATATATATTTCATGGTACCTATATTTTTCATAATTGATTATTGAAAAATCGCTTTATTAGTGGATGATTTTATAATTTGTTAACGTG